TCCGACGGCTTCAAAAGGAAGGCGGGCAGTGACCGCGAGAAGCGGTCACGTGTCCCGCCTGAATCTAAGAGCGCGCCGCGAGTCACGGGCGCGCTCTTAAAGAGACAGTGGGAGCCTAAATTGTTAAAAGGCTCCCATTGGCCCCTGTCATGCCACACTCCCCATACACTTACCTTTTGAGGGTGTGGATATGACAGGAGCCAATCACATTAGTTTAGAAGCTATTTAAACTTACCTCTCCCTTTACCCCCTGCCCTATCGTGGTTTCTGTTTCTGTTCCCTTTAGCGCTTGTTGTGTTCAATTGTGTTTTCTTTGTATTGACTTTGGCTTTGTTTCTGACTACGTTTTCTCTTTATCCTTATCTGTTCTGGTTGTCAGCTTGCTGTTTACTGTGTACCAGACCCCGGCTAGTCCTAGTTTACGCTGTCTCTCTGTGCCCTTGACTTCGGATCGTTCCTGACTCTGCCTCCTCTCATATACGTCGAGTCCGGCCATTCTAAGGTCCGGTAGACGTATCTCTCCTCTGTGTTGTCTTCTGTTTAGCTGAATCCTGCGTGTTGGGGTATATTCTCGTTACAGTTACTCAGTGTATAGACTGTTCCTGTATGGCATTTCACTTGATAGTGTGATATTCCCCGCAATGTTCTTTGTGAATGTAACTATTGAATTTGTAGTTATATTTTTCGAAAGGAAAACTAGACAAGTGTGTGATATTGTGTTTATTTTTCTATAAACACATTATGAAAAATCTTGTAAAAAACTGTAAATTGGTGATTCAAAGTTGTTGTTAAGTGACAATGGCTAGCAGTAGGACACAGCACTACCTGTAACCACCAGTCTCACACAAGGATTCCAACTTAGTTTTTGTGCATGTTAATATGGTAGTAGCTAGGCAGAAGCATTTTGTTTCTCCTTTTTTAATTTGTTTTTATGCACAACACACTAAAAAAAGGATCTTCTTTTATAAACACTTAACAAGGAAAACTGCCAAACGGTAAGTTGGTGATTCCAAGTTGGTGTTAAGAGACTGTGGCTAGCTACAGAGCACAGCAGTAGAGCAGGCAATCTGACACTCATAGTTTGTGTGAGGGTCAGAGTAGCTGTGCTAGGCAAGAGAGTTTTATTTTAAACTTTTTAAAAACACTTAAGAAAAAAACTTGAAAAAAAATGTAAATTGGTAACCTAGTATCGCACTAGGTTCAATGACACAGTGGAAATCTCCTATCTCCCACTCAAAGTTACTTTAATTGGCATTAGTTAACTAGGTAGATACTGCAGTAATCTAAACATAGTCATACACTATAAAGAGTGACACAGACTCCCACTCCCACACATGGTAAAACATACAGTATCACTGCTAATCTGTCTCCATCAACACTTGCAGTCAAGTGTCTGTAAGAATGTAATTGAAATATATACTGTTTTACTGCTCCTCCTTTTTTTCTGTACTGGTCAATAGTCACTTGATCTTTGAATAAAATCAACATTTAATGGCTTTACCCTAATCATCAGTCATCTTTTGTTTTCCACCTCTTATTTGGATAGGAGATAGAGTCCACATGATTGAGCAGACCTCATGTCAATCATGGCAAACTACGCTTCTTATTTGCCCCCACAAAAACAGCTTCTTCTCCATTCCAACTCCCTTTATTTCTGGTGTCAGTAATGGCACTCTGAATCATGAATCAAAATGCATATATCTGGTCACTCTTTAGTAGAAAAACGATATTCTTATTCCATGTATAGAATAAGAATATCATTTTTCTACTAAAGAGTGACCAGATGTTGGTTTTCTGCATATTGTGGTAAAAGTATATTTTAGCTATTTGCACATTTGGCATATTTTACTTATGCACAGTGCACTTTCACTTGTAGGACATTATTAAGGTGTATGGTACATAACAAATGTTACACCAACTGTCTTGCATGAAATGTAAATTGCATTTGCACTTTTGAATATTTACAAACCTGCTTAAACCTACTGAGGAACATCCAGACAAAGATTGGCCTACTTTGGCACGACTCTGGTGGGCACAGACCAAAGATGACCTCTCTGCAGCCCAGGGTGGGGGAGGCAGCCGACCCCTTGCTCGCGCCTGAAACCCATCGACTTCTGAGCCTTCTCCCCCCCTCCCTCTGGACCAGTGGGGGTTATCCTGGTCCCTACTGGCATACATTTGGGGCACGCTACCAACAGTGAATCCTGAGATTGGGGCCTACCTACTGCCCAAGATAGCTGCTGTGCAATAGCCTGCTGCTCTGTAGACAACTTCACAACCGTTTACCCATGGTGACACATTTCTGCTGGCCTTTGACAAAGTTTGTGCCCAATTCTGGGGCAAATCTGAATGCCTGGGTAACCACCACTTCTACTCACTGGGGAGACGTATCCCAGATTTGATCAGAGAACTGGCAACACATGGCAGGAATCCACCCATATGGCAACCACAAGATGTTGAGAAGGGGGAGGCCAAAGCGACCAACGCCACTGACATATAACCACCGAAGCTTGATGGTAAAGAGGAGAAGACTGGGGCCGCAGAAGACACAGACTCATAGCACAACGAACATTGCCACCCGCCGCCGTGTCCCTGCTGGGCATTCCGGGGTTGGCTGATCTCCCAGGCACTGTTGGAGAGTTCCCACTCAGGCCCAATGTGTGCATCATCCTGGCATCAAGGTTCTGTCAAGTTGGGGAATCCTGATTGGCCTCAAGTTGGCACAAAAGGAGACAGCATCCATGCTTGGAGCGGGAGGGGCTCTCCTCCACGACATTGTATACTCTAACTTCCTTATGCCAACAGCTTCCCTTCTCGGGGTATAGGTTGAGCAGCACCACGATACGACCGTAAGATAACTCTGTAAGTCGGTTGTACAGGGCTCATATCACTCCTTTACAGTCAGTGGCACTTTATCTCAATTAATTTACATATCTCTTAATGGGCAAATGTACTATATCCTAGCACTACATGTTATTCCATAGGTTACATGGCCATTATATTCGCACTATTTTTCTACCCTTGATGATTTATTACAAAGTTATCCCCTACTTATTCCCCTAAATCTAGACATGTTTGTTAGGCCTGTCAACACTATACTATGTAATATACATGCCTAGATCAGCTCTTCGGTCATATAAATCATATGAATATTCACCATCTTAGACATAACTGCCTAGCTTAGATCTTGCTTGTTTACTAGTTCCTAAAAATGTGCTGTTTCTGCAAATGTCATACCAATGTTTTACTAATGTTGTTGTGACATTGTAAGCATACCTGTATTCATAAGCACAACAAAAATAAAGAATTATTAAAAATATATATATTTCTTTAAATCAAAATTCTTTAAATGTTTATTTTACAGTCTATTTAAAAAAACAATCAGAAGAAGCTAAATAGTCTAAAAAGAAAAATAGAGAGGCATAATAGAGAGATAATTTTACAATCCCCAAATAACATTTATTTTGTTAAACATATTTCTGTATTTTTTCTAAATTCTACTTGTATATGCAATGTTAGTTATGAGTTATGAAAGCTTTGTTTTGGTTAGGTGTTTTCATTTTTAACAACACTATTTTTTGGTGTAGTCATTTAGAACATGGTTATAGATTACAGACCATCCTTCTATGTTATATTCTGGTTGACACAATAAGCTTTTTAAACTTTTCAATACATTTTTATACAAATATTGCACACACTCATCCACTACAAAAATGAAATGGCCAATTTAAACAAACCCAGCCTCTCTTAATACCATAAGTATCAAAACAACTTTGGCCTAATGAAGCAGTTTTGGTATATAGACCATGAACCTGCATTCTCACTGCTCAATTTCCTACCATTAAAGAAAAACTATAGTGCTAGAAATACAAGAATACAAAATTGTATGCTTTGCACTATAGTAGCCTTTAGTGTCCTCAATCATGCCCCCTGCCACCGTAGTTAACCCTTTTGTCACTAACCTGAATCTAGCACCGATGTCCCTTGGTGCTGGTTCAGGCTCCACCTCCGTACTTCCTCCACCGACATCAGTGTCAACCTAATGAGCATGCGTGGCAATCACTGTGATCGCATTAGGACTACCCCATATGAAACCATTGTATCAATGCTTCATATGGGGTCTTCTACTGGGTTTTAACTGACCATGGATGCAAAGCATGAGGACATCCAGTGTCAGTTAGAAGACCAAAGGTGGCTGTCTGGTTAACCCTGCAAGGTAATTATTGCAGTATATCAATAACTGCAATAATTACAATTGCAAGGTTAAACTGACAGGGACACCGCACCTAGTCTACTTCAATGAGCTGAAGTGGTCAGGGTGCCTATAGTATCTTTTTTATGCAGCCCTAATTAGCCTTGCATCATGTAAAACGTGATAAATTTTTTAAATTTACTTTATTGCACATTCTGTTTAATTTAGAAATTCTTACCTCCTGATCTGTTAATAGCTATCTAGGAGTTCCTGTCTGTGATTAAAGTTCAAATTACAGAACAGGAGAGAAAAATGTCTACAGCATTTTAATATCTGATTGAAAATTACATTTTCGTTTCAAATTAGCTGTGTCAGTCACAGCCAGGGCAAGTGTGGCTACGGCTGCATAAACAGAAACAAAAGTGATTTGACCATATAAATGGCAGAGCATTGAGCAGTGAGACAGTAGGTACTAGTGGTGTACTATAGTGGGCACACTAGATGCAGATGTGATGGGGCCCATCACTCCAGAGGGCCCAGCCACCCTGTTGACCACTGCGATGGCATAACTTACCATGACGAGAGGTCAGAAAGAGGTCATTATGATGAGATAGGGAGTTGGAATCACGATAGAGAACGATATTACGAGGAGCGGGCTACAAAAGCGAGAGACGTCCAAACCAATATGAGAAAAGTGAGCACTATCACAAAGAGAGGGAGCATGGTAAATCTCAGCAAGAGAAGACTCCAAACAGATACGACATAAGACACAACTCTCACATGGACAGTGAATCGTCCTGGAAGCAGGATGAGAGGAGTAATAAGCGACACAAGGAAAGGGAGCGGCCGCAGAAAGATAGGGAGTCTTATAGGAACCAAGGAGACAACAACCAGGAGAAAGAACGAGAGAGACTGGCATCACAAAGATTATCTGTATAGTATAGACCAAACACAGAGACATCCAATGGACGTGAGTGACAAAGAGCCTTATTTCAAAGCTGATAGGTTGTTTGCTCCAAATGGCTCCCAGATAAACGATGTAGAATATTACGACACAGAATCAGATGGTGGAATCCTCAATTGTCACAAATGCAGATACCTATGTTCAGGACGTGCTTTCTGTCAGATGGTGGAAGCTCTGCTGAACATGTTGATCCTGATCTGCTGCTCCGTGTCCTACAATTCTACCGGGGGTTTCACTGGGATCACTAACCTGGGTGGGATTTACTATTACCAGTTTGGCGGGGCTTACAGTGGCTTTAGTGGTGCAGATGGAGAGAAGGCAGAACAGTTGGACGTCCAGTTCTACCAGTTAAAGCTTCCCACTGTTACAGCCTCCATGGCGTTTGGGGGAGCTCTCATGGCATTCAGCTGCTTGCTCCTTCTGGTTGGGGTGCTCCATGGTGACTTCCTGTCCTGCTACTTGTGGAATGCATGTTGGACATTGCGATCGCTGTGGGCTATATCCCAGCGCTGTATTTTTACATCACTAAGCTACAACAAGCGTACGATTCCCAAGTTTGCAAAGACCGGGAGAGCCTTTATAGCAGCAAAGGTTATCAGGGTTTCACCTGCTCCCTTCATGGCGCTGGTAGTGCAGCGACGCTGTTTGCATGCATGGCCATAATAGCCTTCATCCTCAGTGCCGTTCTGGCTGTCAAAGGATTCATAAGAGTCCGGCGCATAAAAAAGAAACCGCAAACTTCACACGACTTTTAGCCCGGCTTAGCTTATAGTACTTCTCAGATCCTACACATGGCACATAGACTGGGGGACTTAGAATAAAATGTATTTAATGTCTCCTATTAAACCCTGTTTTACAAATGTGAAGAAAATTGGAAAGTGAAAGTTTTTTTTTTTTTTTTTTAACTTTTTTTATTTTAGTTTTACATATGTTGCAAACTGTGTATAAATATACTGATCACAAGTTATGGATACATTTTAACAGTACGGATTTGTAAAATTATGTTAATAAACTATTTTGTTACTGAAAAAAATAAAAAAAATAAAGCTTTTACAAATTTGACCCCAGAACGTGCGTGCGCATCTCCCGCGTGACGTCAATCGGCAGCAATCATGCACATGGAAACCCGGTAATTGCTTTTGGGGTCAAAGGCCGGTTACAGCCAATTGGATCCACAGGAAGGATATTTAAACCCAATTCTCCTTTTGCTCATTGCCCTGATGTGGTTTCATCCTGATGGTAATCCGAGAGTGTGTTCCTGATCTTGATTTTCTGGTATTTGACTTTGGTTTCATTTTGACTTCCCTGAATTCTGGTATCCTTGACTTTTAGCTTTCCCTAATCGTTGTGTTTGATTCAGTGTTCCTGACCTCAGCAAGTATTTTGACTATTCTTGGATACATTAATGTTCGGCCATTCTAAGGTCCAGTTATACGTTATCCTTAGTCCTTGGTGTGACACAGAATTGTGTCAGCACATAGCAGCTTGTGAGAGAAAGCTAGAGGATAATGATCACCGTATGGATCAATTTGCCCAGGCTTTTAGCACGCTCCTTACTAGGATGGCTCATTTACAACATGAGGCTTCTCTGATTATGTGACCGCTGCCTAATGTACCTCCACCTATAGTATATAAGGCACCTATGATCTCCTTATCTCCTCCCTTGCATTTTTCTGGTAGTATCCAGTAATGTAGGGGATTTATCAATCAGATTGAGTACCACTTTGAGGCCTCACCTGGTTCATTTCCTTCAGATAGAGCTAAGATTGGGTATCTGACAAACCAACTTAAAGGTAAGGCCTTAATTTGGGCTAATCCATTATGGGAAAGTAATAGGAGTATTGCTTATTGTTACCAGGAATTCCTTGTGGAATTCAAACTGACGTTTGAACCATTAGGCAGGGAGGATGATGCCTCCACTGCATATCAAACAAGGGAACCGGTCAATCTCAGATTATGCCATAGAATTTCGTACTTTGGCATCTGAGGTAGACTGGACTAATAACTGATTAATCGCTGCTTTAAAAAAAGATTATCCGATAATATTCTTGATGAAATTGCTGAGAAAGACATACCTAAGGGGTTAAATGACTTTATTACTTATGTGATACAGATCGATAATAGACTCAGGACCAGGGAAATTGCTAGAAACAGAACTAGACGTTTGACTATGTCACTAGCATCTCGATTCTCCAAACTTGTTGTCTCTGGCCATCCAACGCTGTCTCCTAATTTCGCCTTTGTTGAATCCCAGATGCCAGATCACAGATTTAAGCAGCCATCTTGCTCTGTGGTTAGCCACGCCCCCCCCCCCCAGCCACTGCTTTTTAAAAAAGTGTTTCTCCATTACTCTCATCGATTATTCTGTTCTCTATCTGGTGCATTACTTATACGTATGTATCTTTTATACTTTTTACTCCTTTTTTTTCCACTCACTGTAACTTCTCTGCATTGCACATTTTAGTTTTTATTTATTTTGCATCATGTCAGTGAAACATATGATGACAACTATTAGAAACAACGGTGAGTCCAATAAAATTAACGACATGACTAAAATCTCTGAAAGAAAACTTGAATCCAGAAGCCAATATAAAAATATTTGTATCTGTAAATATATATATATATATATATATATATATATATATATATATGCTTACATACTGTGAAATATTATAAACATAAAATGTTATTAGTAAGCACATTTCTTAATAATGCTAAGTTGTATGAGGATTTAAAATTGTCTATTTTAAAAACAAACAAACAGAGCAGCCATTTTCTCTCATGACCATGAATAACATGAAGTGCACAACTGTGCCAGCCTGCACTAAAGAGTTTAAAAGTAGAATTTAGAAATATTGAACAGAATATTTTAGTGTTTTTCACTATTTATTTATCCAGAAAATCTTGAACATTTACCTTATTTGAAAAACTTAATTGCTTTACTGTATTTTCTATTCAAAAAGACAGTGGAAGTTGATTATAAGAGTTTATGTTGAAAACTCTGGGACAAACAATAAAATGGAGTATGAATGTGTTCTAGGTTTCTCATACTGAACATATTTAAGATCAACTTTAAAAGTTTTCAGATATTTCTATACAAATATAACATTACAAAAATAATAATAAAATAAATAATATTTCACTGTGAACCTTACAATTTGAATTCTGAGACAGATGTTATGAAATTCAGAACATGAAAATACAATAAAAGACTTATGCTTTTAAAAAAAATAGAAATAATTGTGCATATTAGAAAAAAAATTACACCTTTCAAATAATACATAATCTTTGATAGAAAAATAATTTGTATGTCAGCCACACACAAAGTTATATAATTATTTTCAAATTGTCCTTGAGTTTCTTTATTTGAAATGTGATGTAAATAGCTACAACATGAGAAGAGAAAGATGGCTTGAGAAGTAAAGTATGGTTTTTCAAGCAACTTCATATACTTACGTTATAAATCTTTTGTGGGGGGGGGGGGTTAGAAAATAAGTAAAACATCAATTCCAGAACTCAAAGATGTTGGTAATTTGGGGGCCATTTAGTAAGATTTAGTAAGAGCAAACTTCCAAAGAATTCTATACGAACAACGAAAAAGAGTTCAGGGTTAAGACGAATCCGAAGGATAAAATCTCCAATAGTTTCACGTGAACTGCCAATTATCTTCAGAGACGAATCATATTGAAAAGAGAATGTGTGACAGGTTTAGACATAGTCATGAACATGTAACTCCAATTAAAGTACCACCTAACATCCCATTGGAGAATATAGTAACTATAATCTGATAACTGAGTAATTGTAATGAGAACTCTAATGAGGATTCCATATTAATGGAAGTACGAACATATCATATAAGCACCAATGTGAGAGGCAAACCTACCTTAGCACCTAATATCTGCAAAGCAAACAAATAAAAAGGGTGGGCAGCGAAGTAGGGGGGGGGGGGAAATACTCGCCTCCTGTCATTATTAAAATTAAGATTATTAGTACACTAAAGCTAGCATAATCTTCAATTTTACCACATGACAGGAGGCTTCGTATTTTGCATTTTTAATGCTGAGAAAAGAGTATAGAACTAAATAAGAGTCCTACGGTGTGCCGAGAGTCTCAGTATTCGGCGTTGTGGGGAGGTCTTCCCCGTTGAGCGCCCACGTATACACCATCTAACGGGAAATTATACAAGACCAAGTCTGACCGATTGTCAGCAGGATGTTTAGTCCTGTAGAGTGAAAGGAGAACGACCTCCACAACTCATAAGCTGGAGAGGTATGACATTGGGTAGTATCCTAGTCCCTTGGGCATCCTCAGGTAGTGATACCGGCTGCAGTTCTATCTCCATCCTCACATAAGGGATCAAGATGCAGGACCGAACCAGACAGGCTGGGAATGTCCAGATGTAGGGATAGGGTCATCGCATCCCTGGGTTACCAGATTCTCAAGAGGTCCCCGGCAGCCTATGATCATCCGCTGACCTGCCAAGAAACCTCCAAAGTGGGTCCAGGTCCCCAGGTAGCCGACCCTCCTGGGATAGAAGATGTGAGTACCCTACGGCTCCGTGAGGAATTGTTTGTCATGAATGTAGCAGGAGAAGATCCTCACCTGCTCGAGAATTACTGTAGACCTTGTAAGCTTGAGAAACATAAGTCCTCCGGGGAGGTCCGTTCGGACGGAGCGCGATCACCATCGTGCCTCAACTTATACTGTGACGAGTGGTAATATCCAAATCAGTCGGCCCCTATGAGATGTGTCTCCCCCGGGAGACGGGTTGATCTTCTGTGAAGAAGACGGGGATCGAAGGAGCCTACATGTTGTCTGATAAACGTGAGTTGGTCCATCGCAGTGGATGTGAAACCGGACCGCCTAATCTGTGGTTACCTGCAGTAGGGTGCAGCCGATCTAGTACTTCTTTATCAATCCATGTATTGTGAAGTATAGGACCAAGAAGTCTAGGTATACCACATACCGGGTCGTGGTGGTGCCGCGGAGAGTCGTACGAATATTCCCAAGTTGTGGAATAGTCTACGAATCCTCTGAGCGAATAGTCTTCTACAAGAGGTTCCAGCCGGTTCTCGGATGAACGTGGATGTTGGCGAGTTTTCAGTTCACTGGAGTGATCTGAATAAGGTTCTCCCGGAAGAGAGTGGCTCATCTTCCACGCCTGTATTCATTACTTCTTTCGGTAGTTTATCAGGGCCCACCAGGCTCCAAGCTACTGGATCGGGAAGGGGAGGATGTCCCCTGAAAACTGGGTAAGGTGGTCGAGCAGGAAGCAAGAAGACAGTCCTGACGTGTCTTTAGGTCCTGAATGCAAGTCGGTTAACTACGTGAAAGTGGTCTTTCCCAGGATTGAGTGCCTTTCACCTAGATGTGGTGAAATCCCCTGTGGATGTAGTAGGAGGTATATTGATGGTATATGTGCATACCGTGTTCTTTGTCCGCTTATCTGGAGCACCATTGGTTGACTCTCGCTCTATATGGGTAATAGAGCCAGCGGTAGCGGATCTCAGGTCTAATGTCCCAAAGTGGTTGACGACCGGCTCTGTTGTCAACCGGTTCCAAAGAATCCCTTGTAAAGGTAATCGCATACCACCTCCCTCCTAGGGGTTTGGACACTTATGAAAGCCGTGGAACCCTTGCGTGTTTCCTTCGGAACTTTGTGC